AACTAAAATGATGTGAGAATGTCAATTGCACATTATGTAATCTGTATTATTCTCAATGTGAGAATGTCAATTGCACATTCTGTAATCTATATATATTTCTCAATGAGACTGTGATGGTTATAATAAGTAGACTTGGAACCTTTTTGTTTTTTGGTCATCCCTTGTTTGGAAGAAAAAAAAAAAGAAAACAAAAACAAATCAAAATAAGCAATGTTATGGTTACCCTGGCTTTATTAACTCTTAGGTGGTTATTACTTAATACATGTGGTTTGGTTTATGATCTTGTTTATTTTGTTCATTTATTATTTTCCTAAATTGAATTTCGTCATGCATCTTTACAGAACATTGGATTCGATGCATATGTTGTGATTGTCCACGGTTAGCCAATCTAACTATTATGCGTCCTTCATTGTAGGTGTTAACATTTATTGACGTGCTCGGGTCTTTTCTGTCCTTGTCTCCCCAAATCGCAAGTGGTAGGACTTTGTTCAAAAAATTAATGTTCTTTAGATTTTTTTGGTAGGACTTTGTTCAAAAAATTAATGTGCTGATTATTGCGACGACCCTTCTGATGATAGCGACCTTCCCGATGCTGATGGCGATGGCGACCTTTCTGATGTTGATGGCAACCATTCTGATGATGATGACAAGTGGAACCGCAAGACTCCTAAACGACATTTTACCGCCTTCACAGAATGTCTAGACATAATGTCTCGGTGCATAATTTCAGCTATTTTCGAACTTTATGTTGAGCTACTCCCCGTCGGAGGAGAAACCTGATTAAAAAAAATAACGAAAATAAGAAAAACCTCAACTTCTGAGGTGGACTCTTCTTGAACAGGTTATATGGCATGACACAAATAACGGAAGTAAGAAAAACTTGCCTGTTCTTGTTCACCTTCTTTCCTTTCTTTCTAACATTCTTTTTTGTACCTTTGCCACCTTTCTTCGTATTTGATTTCCCTTTCCTGAATCGCGACGTTTTTCTCAATATCTTTTTTGCTTTCTTCTTGGGATGATGCGACGTCTCATTTTTTCTCCCTAATGGTTGGTAGGGTGGTGGGGGCGGTAGCTTATATTCACAAATGGGAATGTGATTCCATCAAATCTTTTGGTCAAAAAAATTTTCACCTGTATCACACTTTAGGCTAAGTCGTAAATCTTTCTGTGCGAGGATGTTGTACGTCAGTGATGGGTCATTCCCCCGGCATCTGACTAAAAATTTTTACATGACATACTTTTTTGTACCAACTTCATTGATTTTTAAAGTTAATCAATCCTCTTTGTTAATGTCGCCACTATCAGTGAGCATTTAGGATTATATTTAATGTTAATGAGACATTAAATATATGTTGAGTAACATTAAATATAATCACTGATAGTGGAGACATTAACAAGGAGAATTGATTAACTTAAAAATCAATGAAGTTGTTACAAAAAAGTATGTCATGTAAGAATTTTTAGTCAGGTCCGGGAGAATGGACCATCACTGGCGTACAACATCCTCGCACAGAAAGATTTACGACTTGAGCCTAAAGTGTGATACATATGGAAATTATTTTGACACAGAGGATTTGCTAGAATCACACATTCCCATTTGTGAGTATAAGCCACCACCCCCACAACCCTACCAGCCATCAGGGAGAAAAAATGAGGCGGCGCAGCATCCCAGCAAGAAAGCAAAAAAGAAGTCGAGAAAGACTTCGCGATTCAAGAAAGGGAAATCGAATGCGAAGAAAGGTGGCAAATATACAAAAAAAAAAGAATGTTAGAAAGGAAAGAAGGAAGGGGAACAAGAACAACCAAGTTTTTCTTATTTTCGTTATTTGTGTCATGCCATATAACCTCTTCAAGAGGAGTTTTCTTATTTCCGTTATTTTTTGAATCAGGTTTCTCCTCCGACGGGGAGTAGCTCAAGATAAGGTTCGAAAATAGCTGAAATTATGCACCTAGAGATTATGTGAAAGCTGTAAAATGTCTGAAATTCATATGTTTGACTTCACTTGATTTCGTTTCATGCTAGACCTCGTTATTTTCAATCGGTTGCTCCCTGTAGAAAATATATAGCTGAAATTGAAAATTAAGTTTTTTTAACTCTTAGATTATGTTACTCAGTGAATAAGCATGAGGTATTGGTTTTCATGCACTCATAGGCCTCGTTTACTAGCCATGATATGACGGGATAAGGTTGGTTAACCAACCTTATCATATGTTTATTATGTGGTATTGGGATTAGGATTGAGCTGATGTGTGAATGGTGTGGTACGTGGGTCCTACGTCTTTAAAATGCGCTGGCAGGCTTATTTTGTCCGCCCATGGAGGTCGGATATTTTAATCCCCGCATTTGGTTTCCAATTTTGTCCAAAAAGGAGCCTAACAAATGACATTTATACCCCTGCATGTCAAGTAAATTACAAATTTAGCCGTATATAACCAGATTTAGATGCCAGAATTATGTTCTTTGTCGTGCTCTACACAGACGAGAAGCCCTAGTTTGTTCTGCTCGTTTTCACTACCACCATCTTCTTCCTCCGTTTTTCTTAAAAAAAAAAATCTTGCAGTGGATTCTAACATTGTTAACCTCTTTGAATTGCTTCTTTTTGGTCGCCGATATCTGCCCTACCTAACTCCGCCTCTATTTCACGTGAGGGTAATAAATCTGTACTTAATCTTTTTTTTTTCGTCTGTTGTGATTTACAATTTTGTTGAATTGTATTTCATATTTTGTGAGATATTGGTTTAATATGAGCTGGCATATAGATTAGGCCATATATGGGTCTATGTTGATCCTGTGAATATGCTATTTTGTTGAATTGGTTTTCTGCTAGATTAGGTGAAATTGTGAGCTTTCATATGGGTTTTGCTAAGATTTTTGGGCTCTCTGTGGGAAAGGATAATAATGATGCTTTCTTTCGGTTTCTTTAGTTTTTGGTTGCTTTATTTGTGTGTCATACTATAACGATTTCATTTGAGGCCCCCATGAAGTTTTTTTGCATTTCATTTAACCATGTTGTTTGTTCATTTGATGTTGGGATATGCTGAGAGTTTGCATGTTTGATAGATAAGTTGCTCCTATGTCTTGTTTTATGTTCGCCAGCGGCTTTTATTTTTTTATTTTTAATATTTTGATTTGTGCCTTTCATTTATCTGAGTCTTGATCTTGCTTTTCGTTAGCGGTTGGGTTTTAGAACAAACAATGGAATATTTGTTGCTGCAGCTCTTTCGATGAGTTCATTTCTAATTCCCATGAGGCGCTGTTTTGCTAAAACTGGTATATGAAGCAGTGTGATATGGTTTGGTTGCTGGGATAGTTTACAAACATTGTCCTAACTTTGTTATTTTGTTTGTAGAATAATAAATGTGTTTTTTGAGTGCCTGATTGAACTCATGCAAACTAAAATGATGTGAGAATGTCAATTGCACATTCTGTAATCTGTATATATTTCTCAATGAGACTGTGATGGTTATAATAAGTAGACTTGGAACCTTTTTGTTTTTTGGTCATCCCTTGTTTGGAAGTAAAAAAATCAAGAAAACAGAACAAATCAAAATAAGCAATGTTATGGTTACCCTGGCTTTATTAACTCTTAGGTGGTTATTACTTAATACATGTGATTTGGTTTATGATCTTGTTTGTTATGTTCATTTATTATTTTCTTAAATTGAATTTGTCTTGCATCTTTACAGAACATTGGATTCGAGACATGTTGTGATTGTCCACGGTTAGCCAATCTAACTATTATGCGCCCTTTTATTGCAGGTGTTAACATTTATTGACGTGCTCAAAATCGCAAGTGGTAGGACTTTGTTCAAAAAATTAATGTTCTTTAGATTTTTTCCTGGGATTTCGTTTTTTTGGTACTACTGTTTTGCACCTTCTTTCTCTTCCCACATGATGAAGTCATAAAATTCAAAGTCAAAATGTAGTGGAAGTCTAATATGTAGTGGATCGTGTGCACTTGTGGTTGATGTTGCAAACTTTTTGGGTATGATATGAACTTGTGTGGATGATGTTGCAAACATTACTTTGTATTTCTTTCGCTTTTCAGAATGATATTGGAAACTTGGATTTGGTTATCGTTATTTGTGTTTTGGCTTTCAGTGGTTTGTGTTTATGCTTGTACTTCTGTTTTGTTATCATTTGCATATGTTTTTTTTTATGACAACATTCATCGCAACAAATGGACAACAAGTGAAACAGGTAAAAGACATAATAATACAACAACAACAACATAACCAGAATATTCCCAACAGGTTGGGGTCTGGGGGGTCAGTTGTACGCAGACCTTACCCTTGTAATTATACAAGGAGGCTGTTTCCGTAGCGACCCAAGGTGCATTGCGTCGTTTTATATATATTTTTTTTTTCTAGAAACTTCACTAATAGAAGAAACACTAGAATTTAATTGAGTCATTTTGATTTAGTCCATTATTAGCACTATGCCAGGAGAATTGTCAACAATGACTCTTCCAGCTCCATTTGCAATGGACAATAGGTAAAAGACATAATACATGTAATTAAATAATAGATACAAATCATCAACAAACAGCGCACGGGTTGAGTTCACCATAGTAGACGCAAAGCAAAGATAATGACTTCTAAATGTCCACAAATATTACTGACTTCATTGCAAATCATAACAAAATTGAACCTCGAACAACCAACTTCATTGCAAATCATAACAAAATTGAACCTCGAACAACCAAATAGTCTAAACACAACGCACTCCTCCACACCTATAATTTCAACTTGTTATGGCGTTATTATTAAATTATTTTCAGATAATAAACAATTGTCGTTGAGGTTATCATGTATAGTGTTTAAGATTATTAGGTTAGGAGTAGTCAAAATTACATGTGTAAAAACTATCAAGTCATTAGGTTTCCTTTGTACTACTAAGTTTTAATTTCAAGTGCAAACTTACAACACAATGAATATGATGTTGGAGCAAGCTGACATTGTATTGTCATAGCATGTTCGGTCAATTTGCAAATAATAAACGTATAAGCATCCATAAATTACCATAATTCAACATCGAGGGTTTCAATTTTCATTAACAAACACATAACATCCAATTTTCCTGACATAGCCATTGTCGTCTCCCAAGCAGTTAAAATACATCACAAAGGTTCATGGAGCGAGTATCACTAAGAAAAATACATAAATAATTTACAAAAGTGGTTGTTTTCCTTTAAGAATATCAACATCTTGCTCAACATTCGTAACGCGATTGGAAGCACTTTGCACATCCGGGTGGACTGTTTCCTTGTCTACCTCACCAAAAATTATCTGCAATTTCGCCCATTTCGGGTCTCCCATAGTTTTGTAGGCTAGACTCATAGGTTCATCCTGCAAAATAAATAATGTCAATTACATAATAGAATAACACATTTGAAATGTAAGTATACCTTTGAATGTGATCACGATACATACAGTAAATACCCTTTTCCATGCTTCTTTTGGTCCCCACATGAGACCACTCTCACAATAATAGTTGATACCATAGTTTGTAATCATCTCCCTCATCACCCTATGCCTTCCCCTAAATTGCTGAAACCTGCTCTCTCACTCTATTGTAGTAAAAGATGTACCGAACTCAATACTCAACCCATCTGCGCTTAAGCTAAATAATGAGTAATCGTCTTTCTTATTGCCTTCAAGTAACATCGGCAAATGGGGTTGTGCCGATACCAACAAACATGTGAACGACTAGTCAACCTCAACTGTCCATTTATCATTAAACAAATATTGTTTTCGCTCAGGCGGGAGATGGAACTCCATACCTGTTTTGTGTACAACTTCGTAAGTTGGACAAAGAGTTCATATGCTTCAAATTATGCACTACTTTTTTATTAAGTAATAACATATCTAAAACATCTGATATATTAGAAATTCTACATAGGTAAAAAACTTATTAAAGGCAGAAAACAAGTTATATCACAACCATACTTTATCAGCATGAAATAATGATTTCAGCCAACTCAGGATGACTTACTTTTGGTTGATTCTTACTACATGACTATTAGACAATAACAATAAAACCAACTTGATTTAAAGGTAAGCTGGACAAGAAGTTATGGCCTTATTCCTTCTTAATTACTGTTCACATAATGAAATCTTTTTTTTCATCCATCTCTTATTTCTAGTCTTCCCCATCCATTTTCAAAACTTATGTGCTATCAGCAGAGCACAATCAACAATATACAAGCGCGTTTATTTCAAAACATTGCAAAACTGACAATTTTTCGACATTCTTATTGCATTTACATTACACTTCATTTTAACACTTCCTATGACCTACGCCAAAGTTTTCTGTCAACATTGTGAATTCATACACTTAAATAACTTGGTAGAAAAATATACCAACGGAAATATCATAACACTTCAAACATATGGGGGAGGATTCTCCTCGTTCTAAAGAACAAAAATCAATATGGAAAGAAAATACGAAGGCAACTTCAAATCATGCTATTAAAAAACAAATGAAGTTTAAAGTTAAGAACATAAACCAGACATCACAATAACTTCATCTGAGATGGATTATTGAACTTATGAATGAGTTTGATGTAAATTTCATTCTGGTGCACATTTCTTTAAAACTAATCAACAACAATAAAAACATACCCAGTATATTCCCTAATATTATGAAGTTATTATGAAGTTCTTGAAAACTAATCATATTCCCTAATATTAATATTTTCTGAAAAAACAAAGGTAGGCCAATAGAGGCATGTCTTTCAATCTGAAAACAAAATAACCTAACTTAAAAAATTATCTAAAATCCTTATTTCGGGAATGAGCCTCTGATACATATGCAAATCAGACACATGGTTTGGTGGACATAGGTTTTCAATTGAACCTTTAAAACCCCAATTAAGAACTAAACACCATCAAATCCCCAAGATGATAAAAAAATAAAAAAATAAAAAAATAAAAAAAAAAAATCAAAAGAAGGTAACAAACAAAAAAGAGGCAGAATCAAATCTGCATCTGTACACCATTTGCACACCAGTTCAAGCGGGCTATAGCTACCCATCCCGTCCACTATCATCAGCATATCCCAACATCAATAAGCCACAGAATTAATAGAAACTATTTTTCCCATCGGCGATTAAAATATTGGAAAGAGGTAACCTGAAATCCCTTCGCCTCGTCGTGCTCCTCAAATGGGGGTTGAGTGTTTTACGTTTCAGTACATTCGTTCTCCTCCTTCCCCTCGTCTCCGACCACCGGCGAGAAATCTTCTTCGGTCTCGTTCGGTAGTGAAGGATAGGGCTACAGTCGAGGGTGAAAACAGAGAAGATGGAAGACAATTGATTTGCATCTCGATTTTGTATAAGGGGTATTTTTGTCAATATATATTTATCATATCAGTTTATCAACAGGTAGTAAACACATGATAGGATTTCCGTTAAATGCAATCATGTTATGTAAACGAGAATTGTTTATCCCAGATGCTGATGTGTAAAGTTTTGTGGGATAAAATTGTCTAATCTCATCATGGCTTGTAAATGAGGCCAGTAGATAAATAAATGTGGCTTTGCATTTGCTTGCCACAAAATTAACTTCCTACATTGTTTTTAAGTGAACAATTACTTGATCTCTGTGTTTTAATACTTATATCTATATCATCATTATTTCTGTTTCTTAGATGTTACCCCATGAAGTACGAAATAGAGGAAGTGAATCTAGGGCTTGTTCGTTTGGCTCACTGAAAATCAAATCATATATTATCTCCAAGTACAACTATTTTTTGTCGAGCAGTTTGAATATTTTCCTTAAGCTTGTGAGTAAATATCTTATGATACATAACCCATCATTCGTCGTTCATGATATAGATATAAGTTTTGATATATTTTTTTCTTTTATTTCCTAAATATCTTATGATACATAACCCATCATTCGTCGTTCATGATATAGATATAAGTTTTGATATATTTTTTTCTTTTATTTCCGTTATTTGTGGTCCTGCTATGTACCGACGAATTTATCGTTTTTGAATCACCAAGTTTTGAAGTACTCTTATTTTTTTTTCGATCTTATGACTTTTGGATGTCCTTATGAGACTTTTGTCACATGACTTTGATGTGGTCCTTATGACTTTGTTATGGTATTTTCGATTATTATGATTTTATTATCAAGCAGAAAAAATCGATGTCAATATTTATTATAGTTTTCATTTTGCTTATTGGTATGCGCAAGCATGAGAAAGGGGTTTCCTTCCCTAGGTGGTTTTACTATTAATTAATAAAGGTTTCAATTAAGAAGATTCAGGTTTTACTAGTAATTAATATTTTTTTACTCATGTTTTGGAATCAGGTCTTATTAATCTGAGATATATGGTCCTCCACCTCCCTCCCAACAAGTATAGCTGAAACGTAATTTTAAACTTTTAGTGCACATTTGTTAAGGTAGACGAGATTGGATAAATAATATTGTCTTGTATGAATTAAAGATTTTGTTTGTTGTACATGATTCACACTAGATGAGATTGTTGTAATGTAATATGTTATGCATTTGTTAACTATGACTAATGATAAGATAAATATTCTTTTTACTAAATTACCCTATAAATAAAGTTGTTCAATTTTTCCTTTTGCATGCAATCCTTCACGGTTTGCACGAACACGCATAAAATGCTCTGCAATAATTTGATTTCATTAAACGATTGTTCGGATACTGAAAATAATAGAAAATGAGATGAGGGTGTAGTATGAGTAAGATATTTGTAAATGATATGATATGATGTACAAATATAATGCTTAGATATCTATGTTTTCAACACTAAAGAAATTCATTCTGTGCAGTCTCGATTATTAGGTGTATAGTTGTCGCTTGGGCTTTGGAATCCTAGAAAAGATAGAAGTATAAATGAAAGTTACTAAATGTCCAACATAAGAAACAATACTCAATAGAATAGTTGGATAAATGACGAATCAATTTCATATCGACAAATATGTTCCACATGTATCAACTTGTTCCCAAACAATGTCATCAAATAAGGAAATTCACACTCTACATTACGAACAGGAATTTCCAGAAAATGATAACTAAAGCATTAAAAAATTCACCTTTATAATAATCGAACAAGAAGAAGAAAATAAAAAGCTATGCAAAAGATAATAAAGAAAGGAACCAATTCAAAATAACATGTGATTATTTCGTAAAAATAATGAGATGAATTAACCAAATTTGAGGTGGATTCGGAAGACCCAAATACATGAAAAGGTATTTCGTTACAGCTTCAAAAGACACAAATCTCACCAATTTGTTGCACAATTGAGATCTTCCCACATGCTTCAATGACTATTTTGACCCGTATCTCTCTCCTCGAAAGGGAATTGAGTTTATACACAAACACAACGAAAAAATGAGATTCAGCATGATCAAGTCAAAGATAAGTTTTTGCTTGAGGACCTTTTCTTTTGCCGGCGTATCAAACGGGTAGATGCAAAATTCCATCATGCAAATAGGGTTTCCCCAGCTCCGACGATTTATTTTCCTGCACGGTGACGCTTGACACGGCTTAACAGCCCAAATTTACT